TCTAAAGCCCTAGACACAATGCGAGGCAATATAGCAGACCCTCGGACAAAAATTTTAACGGACAAAAATGTACGCCGCGATTCACCTATATTTAAATGCTTGGCAAAGCATTCGATACCGAAACAAATAACGCGTAACGCTTTATCGCATTTCTACAGACGCAGCTAGAAATTTCACGATTCGAAAGAGGAAGGTTTAATCTAAAAGATTCTACCAATACGACCTTGGAATGCGGTGGCATACATAACTATTTTGTTCGGTGAAAATTTAATTTCTCAAAAATATATTGTGTTGTACAGACCGAAGTTTGAGTTTAAGAAAACAACATATGTAACACATATATACATAATATTATCGTTGTGTTTTGTTGTACATACCTCCCGGAACACAATCCATTTTGCACGATTTAATTTGAACACTTTATCCTTGAAATATAAACGTTATACCAGAGCGGTGAAATTTCGGTTGACTGCGACTGCCACAACTGTTCAGTGCAAAGGGCAAGTTTAAACTGAGCTAGAAATTCATGTATAGAAATGTGATCCTTGGTTTTTCAGCATGAGGTGAGGGGTACAGTCCTCTACAAAATCCAATAGTCACATTTCATAAAATCAAAAAAATTTTTTTTTTACTTTTGGCCACGTTTTCGGGATTCTGGCCCACTGTGCGTCGGTCCTCGTACACGAGATCTTAGCTCTCGGAGTTTCCTTTGTAATCGAACGAGCCCGGCTCGTTCTAACACGATTGCGGATGCGGTCCAATCTCCCTTCTGGAGATCGCTTACGAGTATCGCGCAGGTCGTTTCACGTCTCTGCGAGGCGACGACGGTGTGATCCTAACGCGGATCCTTAATACGCGGTGTCAGAGCTACGCTGCAATGGAACGTAACCTCGAATTTATGATGACGAGTTCGCACTGCGAACCGAATCTCGCCTTCGCCTTAGTGCGAGCGAGATCACAACGTATCAAGTCTCCGCGTATTAATCGTTACATCTTCTAATTTTATACTATATATATAATCATATCATATATAATCATATTATATTAACCACATATATACATATACACCTTTATTTACTTTGGAAAGCTCTTGAGATAAGCTATAAGAATATGCAATAAAATATAGGGGGTTCCATTTAAAAAAATAAGGTTGACCTTGAAATGACCTTGAAGGACATGGTCAAGGTCAAAGTCAAAGTCATTATCTTACTCCCCGCTTGAAACCATACAACTTTGTTATTGGATATTTTCTCCAAAATGCATTCTAACTGAAGATATTAGGGGGGTCCGATACTTTTCGATGACCCTGTATATATTGGGAGTGTGAATAAGTTCTCGCCGTTTCACCATCAGATGGCGGTATAAAAATTTTGTGTGTTTAATTCAAGATGATGATATATCTATATTGAAGTTCTATAACCTATGTTTAAAATTAGTGCGTGTCTTTCCATTAACCTATAAAGAACATTTTCTTTTCGTAGCGTAAAACATGTCAAATTTCGTGCCAAATAAACCGTTTTTGCGGGAAATTTTATTGCACTACTTTATTCAGAAGAAATCTGCAGCTGAAGCACACAGAATTCTTGTAGAAACCTATGGTGATCATGCTCTGTCGGAAAGAACATGCAGAGATTGGTTTAACCGATTTAAAAATGGTGATTTTGATGTTCAAGATAGAGAACGCAGTAGTGCATCAAGAAGTTTCAAGACAAAGAATTGGAAACATTACTTGCTGAAGATCCATGTCAGATGCAATCCGATGTTGCAAAATCATTAAGAGTTGATCGAACAACAGTTTCGAAATGTCTGACAGCATTAGGAATAATACAAAAGGAAGAATCTTAGGTGCCATACGAACTGAAGCCGAGAGACGTCGAACGGCGTCTTGTCACGTGTGAACAGCTGCTTCAACGACAAAAAAGGAAAGGTTTCTTACATCGTATTGTGACTGGTGATGAAAAGTGGATATACTAAAGTATATCTCCACTAAGTAGTAATCCCAAGCGAAAAAAATCGTGGGTTAAGCCCGGCGAAGCAGTAGCATCAACGCCAAAGCGGAATATCCACGGTTCCAAGCTCATGCTCTGCATTTGGTGGGATCAGCTGAGGGTAGTGTATTACGAGCTGCCAACCCAACCAAACCATCACAGGAGATCTTTATCGACGACAATTGATGCGTTTGAGCCGCGCATTGAAAGAAAAACGGCCGCAATATGAGCAAAGACACAATAAGGTGATTTTGCTGCATGATAACGCTCGGCCGCATGTCGCGTCACCGGTCAGAACATACCTGGAAACACTGAAATGGGAAGTCCTACCCGCCGTACTCTCTAGACATTGCGCCTTCTGATTACTATTTATTTCGATGGATGATTAACGGCCTGGCTGAGCAGCACTTCAATTCGTATGAAGAAACAAAAAAATGGATCGATTCGTGGATAGCCGCAAAAGAAGTTGGGAGCGGTGCACTTGGACACGGTGCATTTGGACACAGCCAATCACAGCACCGTGTGATTAGAGACATTTGTAGGGCCCTTGGAACAGCGACTTGTGATTGGACTGTGTCCAATTGCCTCGTGTCCAACTGATATACACCCGAAGAAGAATGCTCACGTCGTAAATTTGCTGCTAAAAATCCATCTTGACCAACAAGACAGCGATACTTCATGGCAAAGGGCGAGACCAGTTAGAGGTTATTTTATCCAGTACACGCTTTCCAAAAGTAAGTCATTTATTTTGATTATTCATCCCACCGCGTTTATCCTATTATTACTATTCTTGATAATATTCCGCTGAGTCATTTTTCCATTCTTGTCTATCGAGACCCACACGTTGCTCCCCTTATTTTAATGGGTCGCCGATCATCCTACCAGCATGTCGAGTTAAACACCGTGCTCGACGTACTAGGGCTGTTGTCCTGCATCACATATTTTCCTCTGCGGGAAAGCCTTCAAAGAACGATACGGAATGTGGGCAGGTATCTCGACATAGATGAAATATTTCCTTTTCCCCCCTACCTTCTGCCACCTTCACCCTTTCCAACTTCTCCATCTTCTCCTCCACTCTATTCTCCACCTTTCTCGTCCGACCTAAATCCGGGAGACTAAATTTCACACACATTCCTACACTTTCACACGTAGACATATACATGCAGATTTTCACATCGCTGTTTATCCGATTATCAGTTGTAAATCGGTATATTGTAATTCATATAATCATCTAGAATAAAATTTTATATTTATTTACATCATGTGTTTATAACCCTTGTTAATATTTCCATCTCGACCTAAACCTTCATAACCTGAATCCCCCTTTTTCCTTTATCACTCAAAGTCTAATCCCGAGTAAAGGATTCGATTCTCTCACTCGAAATCGGACCGCTCACCGTACGTTGGTGCGCCGTGTAAAGTGACTTTTCCAATGACTGACCGGCTTATCAACCTTCGAGTACGGCGAGGTTTATCGTAACAGTCGTTATAGTTGCGTTCTCCTCTAGGACGTAACAGATATATGGATAACGTCTAGATATCCAGTGGACGTCCCCAGTAGCTATAGGGTGGATATAGATATATGAGTAACGTGGAATATCCAGTGGACGTCTCCAATAGGGTGGATATATAGGGTGGATATGGATATATGAACAACGCGTGGATATCCTCAGTAGCTATTAGGTGGATATGAATATATGGATAACGTGTGGATATCTAGTGGATATCCTCAATAGCTATTGAATAGACATGGATATCTTATACAACTATTAAATGTCTATTAGATATCTATTGTAGATATAGACATTATATGGATATGTAGATATACACTATATTAGATATTTCGTTCTGTATGGGATCGGTGCTCTGCATTATCTAGTGAATTACTAATTCAAATCAAATTTAAACTAAATCAAACCAAATCTAAACTGAACCAAATCTTACATTTATGATTGTTTCAAATTTATTTTTAGATGTTGAACGAATCGTTTCATTGGCTAATGTATTTGAAAATGAGATAATTTTTAATAAAAGATCTGATTATCCCAGACAGCACAGAAGTTTCAAAAAGCTTTCAGGAACATTTAACTTTTCTGAGATCTTCCTGAAATCTTTCTGAAAGTTTTTTTAAACTTCTGTGCTGTGTATGGTTGTGGTCCGATTCACGTTTACAGCACGTTTACAGCACTATAAGCATATATGTAATACTATTATATTGCAAATAGAGAGAAAAAATGGGCATCAACATCACAATGCAAACAAACTCTCACTTCCACTTCCATTATATACTTCGACGCAAATGCGCATGCATGCGTTCCGTGTGATCATAACCTCACCAGTTAACAGTGTGTGACTATGGCCCGTATTCTGAGTTCTCTTTTAACGATAAATGAGCCTCTAAAAGAGGTTTATGAGTCACCTGATTGGCTGAGAAACTACATTTAAACTACATTTCAATCCTTTAAAAAAAAATTCATGGAAGAGGATTTAACTTAAGAAACAGAGAACTATGGTTCTCCGATTGTAATTTTGTCTGCAATTCTCTTCTACAAGATCTGCACAGTTTTCCATTCACTGGAATTTCGCCTGGAAGCTTTAGAAGCAGAGTTTTCGAGATGTTTCTTAAATCAAATCCTTTCCCAAGACCTTTTTTTTAAAAGGATTGAAACATCGATCAAACCACTCTACCTATGTTGCCTAATTACACTATGATCTATTTAAATGTATAAAATAAAAATAAAAATAAAAAAAGCACCAAAATAAAAGTCACAATTAAACCCAAAATCAAACTGAAAGTACGGAATAAAACCAAAGATCAATAACAAAATTATAAGAAAATAATCAAAGTCATAAAAAATCAAATGATATTCTATTTAGTATTCTATTCATCTGAGCCATAGGGTGATATTAAAATGAGGACGCGGCTCAAAAGAATCGAGAATCGAGTATCCTTTCAGGAGATCCGCACGCTGGGAGCAGACAGAAGACACGTACATATACGCCACACCACTGTGTGGCACTGTCAACAGTGCCCGCCTGCATCGTTGATAGGCGCTAGGTCCTAAAATAGGCTATATTTGTGAAACTAAAAATTTATCTATCTTGATGATAGAATTGTTTTAAAGGGAAAGAATTCTATTTTTTAAAGATATTTTTGAAGAAGATTGAAGATATCTAAATTTTAGAAAAAATGAGTTTTATTTTGACTTTCAAATATCTTAAATAAATTTTGATTAAAAAAAAACTGTTTACGTAGAATTAAAATTCGTAATAAAATCTTTGAAACCCCCCTTCGCTTTTTATAATCGGAGTAGTTTATTGTAATTTACCGCAATTTGAAGTTAGACGCGACGCATCGCGACGGCTAAAATGATAAACATTCAAGCCCCTGTAAGTAGACAATGTTGGTCGTGGGTTAAAACATTTGGGCAACGATTTTAGTTTTGATAGAATTACAATTGATTATTCTTCTATAAGTTGATAGTCAATTTCTTACGGCTTAAAGTTTACTGCATCTATTGTAGATCGGGACTAAGGATCTTCACATACACACGAAAGAGATGTAAATCCGACCGAGGAATCTTCGCGTGGTACACCTTGGGTAATGCTAATGCTAACGGTACTGTAACTTTCAAGCTTTATTACTCAAAAAGTACTTAATGAGAAAATATGTTATTATATTGTTTCGAAAAACTCTCAAGATAAGCTACAAGAATAGGCAATAAAAAATAGCCGGTTCTATTTAAAAAATTCAAGGTCACCTTGTCCTGATCTTGGCGACCCCACCCAAAGTCAAACTGAAAGTAATAATAAATAGATTTTTTGAAACCGTATAACTTTTATCGAAAACACTTTTTCCTAAAATGCTTAGTTTTCAAGATATTTCGCCGTCCCGGAACTCTTTTGACACTCTGTATATTCATTTTCAAATCACGTATATTTAAATAAGTTTTGAAACTAGGATAACGAGAATTGATGATGCACTAATGACTGCAATTTCAACATATTATTTCTGAGATGGAGATTATTTGCAAGATCTAACATAACAGTGTATGTATCAGAAAACTTTTTAAAACAATTTTTTCATAATCTGAAACCAAGTATATAAGTTTAATGATTCTATGTTCTATCTCTCTCCAAGACAATATGAAAATTCAATGTTGTCAGCATAAACTTTGGTTGTTGACGCAAAAAGTTCAACATTAATAGACTTGCTATTTGTAACTTGGATGATGATAAGCATATCCACGGTTTGCATTATCCCTCCAGTAAATATTGATTATTATAGTAATATTACATAGAAATAACAAGTAATGTAACATTGATTATATGAATGTTATAAAAATGTCACACATAAGTCTTTTGCGCAATATCACAACAATATTAGGTGTACAACTTTGTTTCCGCCGTTTTTTTCCGAAATTCGAGGGTTTATTGTAAAAAACTGGTTATACATTTATGATTCAAAGTATTGTCCATCGCTGGCCACTACTTTCTCCCATCTTTCGGGCAACGTACGAATCCCGCGTCGAAAAAACTGGTCATCTTTTGAGGCGATCCACGAATCGATCCAATTTTTTACTTCTTCATAAGACCGGAAGTACTGGTCAGCCAGGCCGTGTGCCATTGATCGAAACAAGTGATAGTCAGAGGGAGCAACGTCTGAAGAATACGGCGAGTGGGATAGGACTTCCCATTTCAACATTTCCAAGTATGTCTTGACCACTTTTGCAACATGGGGTCGAGCATCGTCATGCTGCAAAATTACTTTATCGTGTCTCTCGTTGTATTGCGGCCGTTTATCTTGCAATGCTCGGCTCAAACGCATCAATTGCATTCGATACCGATCACCTGTGATTGTTTCAGTCGGTTTTAACAGTTCATAATACACTACGCCGAGCATGATCTTGGAGCCGTGAATATTCGGTTTGGCCGTCAACGTGAAAGCATGGCCAGGAATTCCCTATGATTTTCTGCGCTTGGGGTTATCGTAATGAACCCATTTTTCGTCCCAGTCACAATGCGATGCAGAAATCCCTTCCGTCTTTGCCTTTCAAGCAGCTGTTCACAAGCAAACAAACGCCGTTCAACATCTCTCGGCTTCAATTCGTACGGCACCCAATTTCCTTGCTTCTGAATTATTTCCATAGCTTTGAGACGTTTTGAAATGGCTTGTTGAGTCACTCCCAATGATCGTGCCAATTCTTCTTGATTTTGACACGAGTCTTGATCAAGTAATGTCTCCAATTCTGCATCTTCTTTCTTCTACCGCTATGCCGGTCTTCGACGTCAAAATCACCGTTCTTGAAGCGTTGAAACCACTCACGACACGTTCTTTCACTAATAGCGTCCTCACCATAAGTATTTGAGAGCATTCGATGAGCCTCAATCGCAGATTTCTTCATATTGAAGCAGAAAATTAAAACCTTCCGCAAATGACGAGAATTTGGCTCGTAAACTGACATTTTCAATCGAGAATAACTTTATGATGCAGACACAAATCGACTAATGTTTCTATGGGGTTATGTTGACAGATGCCCCAGTTTATTGTATGACGTCGATGATCTGTTTATTTCGACCACCACTTATCGCTAAAGCCATCTATAGGAAAACGGCGGAAGCAAAGTTGTACACCTAATATATGCAGAAACATAATTATATTGAAACATAATATTATTAAAATACAACATTGTTACAGAGACACTTGTAATGTAACAGAAATAGTGTTAAAATACATGACTAGTATATAAAACATTATGTTAAGTGTTACACTGATGAGTAGGAAATTACAACTAACCAGTAATTTACCGAAAACATATGCAATATTGTAGCATTTGGTACATTTACGTAACATTAATATAACTTTGTTTACTGGGTCAGCAATTTCGGACATGGCCATCTCCATTCTTTTTATTTTATTACATCTCTCTCTTTCCCAAAACAAAATAAAAATTTTCCCTAATTATAATTATAACATCACAGATGTCTATACTAGTACTAGATCGCTAACTTCGTCAAAAGAGGTGTGACCAGCAGGATTTCCGGTTTTAACCATGACACCCTGCAACAAAATGGCGGCGGTGCGCGTGTGATGTGTATGTCTGTCATGTGCATGCACATGTGATACCCGACGTGGCGATACAAAAAAAATTCTTGAAAGATGTCTAGCTGTTGTTGCATTCCAAAATGCAAAAATACCACAAAAGATGGTTTTCATTTATTTAGGTAAGTAAAATGTATTTATTTATAATTCGAGTTTTGTAATATTTAAAGGTTATGTTTCAGTTAAAAATGTAAATATTTCAGGTTTCCGTTAAATCGTCCGGATATTTTAAAAATGTGGATTGATGCCATTGGAAGAGTCGGTTTTGAACCCACAAAATATCATTTAATCTGTAGTGCCCACTTTATAGATACAGATTTTATGGAAAGACCTAATGCAAGTGGCGTACGTTTAAAAAATCTTGCTGTACCTTCGATATTTTGTGAAACTTCTGTTCCTACCGTTAATTCTATTTCTGCGGATATTACTACGATTGAGATTTCTTCAATTGAGTTTGATACTACTCCTGTTTCTGCATCTGCTGTAATGCCAGCAATTGCATGGAAAAGTATATTGAAACCAAGAGAAGATAATTCAACATTTTCAATTCCATCGCCGAGTACAAGTACTACTGATATCATGAAAATGAGCATGCGAAAACCGAGAAAAATCATGTACAATTCACTTTTAAAATTGAAAAAGCAGGAAATAAGTCCACGGAAAAAGCTAATGTGGAGAACAATAAAATCATTAAAGCAAAAGCTAAAAAGAAAAGAAGAAAAAATTCATTATTTGGAGAACTTATTAAAAATTCTAAGGTATGACAACAAATTATAAATGTGTTCCAAAGCAGTATATATATATTGAAGCTTGCGCGTTCAGCTATTTTGCTGTTCAGTGCAAGTGTGGCTATATATCCTAACTTGTAGTGTAACTTTCTCATATAAAAATATACTGCTATATAAATAAACCAATACAATTTGTATTTAAAAATAGCTTACTTTTAAGTAAGCCTACTAAAATGCACAAAGAAATGCTGCAAAAGATATGCTATATCAAACAAACCGATTGAATAAAGGCAAGCTTTAATTTATGCAGCTTTGTGCAAATAATGTGTAAAATATTTAAAATTGTAAAATTATATACATTTTATTAATGTGAATTGTATAAACACTGAATTGTGCATTTAATTAGAACAAAGAATCTTCTTGAGAGAGATCCAAGTGAGATTATAGCTAACAATTTTGATGCAAGCATTAGCAAACTATTCCAAAATGAATGGATCAATAAAAATAGAAATAAGAAAGGTTGTTGATATAGCAATGAAATAAAAAAATTTGCTGTAACTTTACATTTTTATTCGCCGAAGGCCTATAATTATTGCAGGTATATTTCTCAAATTGTCATTGTTATTTATAAGATTTTTAAATTAATATTAAAGATTACATATTATTATTAAAAATATTAAATATTATTTTTAGATCAATTTTACATTTACCGCATATAAGCAGTATCAGAAATTGGATTTCGTCGATTAATGCGGAATCTGGTTTTATGACAAATGTTTTTGAAGAAATATCGAAATTTCCAGAAGGTTTGCGCCATTGCAATTTAGTATTTGATTCGATGGCGATTCGGAAGCAAGTGCTGTGGGATGCAACATCTGAAAAATTTGTCGGATTATGCGAATATGGTAATGGATTATCTATCGAAGCTGCGGAAACTGAAGCCACTGAAGTTCTCGTTTTCATGTTGGTTTCTCTTAGAGGAACATGGAAATGGCCTGTAGGTTATTTTTTTTGTGGATAAAATAACTGCTGCAGTGCAAACAGAACTGGTAAAAACAGCATTAATAATGTCACAACAATCGGGTATTCGAGTATGGAGTGTTACGTGTGATGGAGCTTATGTAAACTATTCAACAATGAATTTGTTAGGTTGCAATTTGTATACGACAAATTACAATGAATTGAAAAGCACATTTAAACATCCCAACTCTGATTGTGATGTGCATTTCATACCCGATGCCTGCCATAATGTAAAATTTGCCCGGAACGCATTTGGTGATCTCAAAATTATAAAATCTCCCACTGCGCAGATCAATTGGAATTATATAACAAATTTACATAAGCTTCAACAAAAACTAAATTTAAAATTTGCAAATAAACTTAGTTCTGCGCATGTAAATTTTAAAGCCAATATTATGAAAGTAAAGCTTGCTGCACAGGCTTTAAGTTCTTCAACTACTGCTGCTTTGAATTTTCTGCAATTTTCAGAAGTTGAAGAATTTAAAGATTGTGCTGGTACAATAGAATTTATTAAGGCAATTGATGAAATTTTTGATTTTTTAAATTCACGCAATCCTTTCGGAAAGGGATTTAAAAAACCAATATTTTATAATAATATCAACTTCTTACAACAAAGAATAGAACAAAAAATTCGATATTTATATGCACTAATGGGACCTTGCAACATTAAGTTATGTGCTAGTAAAAGAAAAGCTTTTATTATAGGTTTTGCGACTGCTGTCAAATCAATATTTAAAATAGGTAAAGAGATTTTGTTAGAACCTTATTTTAAATACTTAATGACATATAGATTCAGTCAAGATCACTTGGAATTATTTTTTGCGCAAATACGACAGCGACATGGTTGGAATAACAACCCTAATGTGTTACAATTCAAAGTAGCAATAAAAAGTTTATTAGTAAAAAATTCAATATTAGCATCAGTAAAAGCGAATTGTGCCGGTTTTGATATAGAAAACGATGTGCAGTTTAAATTAACATGGGCGAAGAAAAAAAATTTTAATAATTGGCATGATAATATTGATAGTACAGATTCTGATAATAATAACAATTCTGATAATAATAACAATTTATTTTATGACTCTGAAAACGAAGAACTATATCGTATCAATATAAATGATAATATTTTCTTTCAAGACAACATATTATATTATATAACAGGTTTCATAGTAAAAAAGATAATTGTTCAGTTAACATGTAAAGGTTGCATTGCCAACATTACAAGAAAATTTGGCGATAGGCAATATAACAGGTGTTACACAATATTAATTGATGTAAAAAATAAAGGAGGTTTAATGTATGCATCGATTCATGTATACAAAATTGTTTGTGCAACCGAAATAGAATTCCATCAATCGTTGAAATATAAAAATAAGTTACCAAATAAAAATGCCCAAGGAGAACAAAAAGTCATAATAATGTCAAAATGATGTCAAAAAGACGTCAAAATGGTGGAACTCACAATGACGTCAAACCGGAGAAAAAAATGACTATAATTTGACATCATTTTGATGTCATTTTGATGTCATTTTGACTAGTACACCATTGATTTGTATTCAGTATTGGGAAAAGCAGTTTCACGAATGCAGAGGTGAAGGAACAATACAGAAACAAATTACAATTACTTTTTATTATAGTGCTTTTGTAGTACACATTATTTTTATCCACAAGAAGAAATATTATATAAACTATATCAATAATAACTAAATTAAAAACTATATTATGTTATATAAACTGCATATATATATAAACGCTATATTTATATTACATTATATTAACTCTGAGGACGGATATCAGTCCTCTTAAAGACATACAGAATACGCAAAAAAAAATTGAAAAGTCCTCCAAATATAGTATCTCAAAATGCCATCTGTCAACAAGATTCAGAAAGAGTTGAAGATTCAATCTCAAACATAAGCACAGTTCAACTTAAAAGATATTTTGCATTTCAAACATTTGAACATTATAGAGAAGTCTTGTTACTTTACCAAGGGATACAAGAGATAACATAGATCTTTCCTAACTTGAAGGACATTGTTTTCTTGAAAACATCAATAAACAAAATTATGTAAACTATGTAAACTTCACAAAATTATGGCAGTACATCATGAATTTTTTTAAATCAAAGAAGAAACTAAAATAAAAGCCTCAAAGGCAGACAAATATATAAACTGTGCAAAACAACTAAAACGAAAAAATAAAAGACAAATAGAATTCATGAGAATCACAGCAAGTTTTCATGGAACATACAAGCTTTTATGGAATTCATATACAGTGAAAAATAACTATAAAAACCCCAAAAGACCTAATTGATCTAATCTGATCGTTGCATGGAAGTATTGAACCATCGTTTCATATGGTCTTCAAATACAGAAATGTGTACGTTAGGAAACTTCTTCAAGCAAACACCTATTAGAGAGAAACAAAGGAGTATTTTAATATTATATATATATATATATATATATATATATATATATATATATATATATATATATATATATATATATATATATATATATATATGCTTATATATGAAAAAAGCCAAAGTTAATAAATCTGAAGATAACTGTTTAAAAAGTAAGATGATACTCACTTTCTACTAGATTTTTGAGTTTGGACTTCTCAAAACTGAGTTTGATCCCTCCAGAACCTTTCCAACTAATAAGTCGTGCCAATTTATTCCTAAGGAGGGTCGACAAAATAGAGTAAGTGAAGAGAGAGGTTGTCTCTCCCTTCCCCTTCCAAAACAGGTACTTGAGCTACAACACAGAGAAAGCCAGTCAACACTTACTTAATGAATACATATTAGTACCTGCATTATTAACAGTGGTAGAAAACTCACCATTTGACCATACAATATTTTATCATCTAAATGATCATTAAAGCTTGCAAGAGATTCCAGTGGCAAGGAAGGAAACCCTTCAGGCCGATCAAAACCATTATTATTTGGGAACAACTCGTTCAAAATTTGGGAAATCCCAATATTCTGCCAATCTATCTTTGCTGACAATTCTTGCATGTAATTTATTAGGAGTACTTGATCTGGAGGCTTACCTGCCAAAAAAAACCACATGAATCAAATGGCAGCTTTGGAGTGTTGTAATTTGCCCATAATATAAAAAGTCATACAAACTTGTCAATTACTAATAAAAACAATTTTCATTACTTTAAGGATATAAGAGGATAGAAAATATAAAGACTTACTGCCAGTTGATCCGCAGTTTCTGCATCCTGTTGATGACTGTGATTCTGTGAACAAAACCAAATGTTCAATTCGGAATCAACTGAGCAGTCATTCATTTCCACAAAAATAGGCAATCAATAAAAATACCTTCTGATGAGCTTTTTGATGATGTAGGTCTGTCTAAGAAATCTTTTTTTTTATTCATTCTGAAATAATTATTGTGATCAGACTTTAGTGTGCTTACACCATGAAAATCTGGAGATTGCTCACAAATGTTAGTCGCTTCCGCAATTTTAGATGGCTCAAAATTGTTAGAAAACTTTGTGGATCTCAAAGAAGACCTATCATTCTTAGAAACTGACTGTTTTAATTC